ACTTGGGAGGCGGAGGCAAGAGACTCGCTTGAGCCCAGGAGTTGGAGGTTGCTGTGAGCTGTAATGCCACGGCACTCTACCCAGGGGGATAGCTTAAGGCTCTGTCTCAAAAAAAAAAAAGAAAAGAAAAGAAATTGGTGATAATCAGAACCATATTAAGAAAAAAAGACAGGATTATTTCTATCTTACAGAACAAAATAAAGCTTAGAGACACTAAGAAAATTTTTTCACATGACTACAGACTACTAAAAGTAAAGCTTGTTCAATATTCTTCTATTATATTATATTCAGTTTCTATCACTAATCTTAGGAATCCTTACGAATCTATGACACATATTTCTTTTTTTTTTTATTGAATGGTAACTATGTACATTAATGTCACACATATTTCTTATAATACTACAAATTCATTTTAAAGAAAATAATTTTAATCACTACTGTTTAAGTGTAATGACAAGGATTATGATAAATGTGTGCATGTGTACAGGTAATTTATATATGTATATACAATACTCACATATGTGTGTGTTTATTACTTGTTCCATACAGGTATTCTCTCCAAGGAATGTACTGTATTTATCCTCAGGTCTTAAAACACAAGGTGTACTTGCAAACCCATATCAAAAGCCATGGAATATGGCATTGATCTTACTACTCTGAGAGTTACTACAAGCAGTATACCCATAGGCCTTTAGACAATTACAAATTTAACAACGTTGTTAAATTTGAGTGATATGAAGGTCCATAAATATGGAAATATGTGATTTTATTTTGAGGTAAGGTTTAAAACATCATGAGACACCAAAATGAGTGCTCAGCATCCACAGTGTAACTTGGCTTTCCTATTTTCTTCTCCTATACCCCTCCAAAGTACCTGCAAACTGATACTTTATTGCATGTTATGAGAAAAACTATATTCTAGAACTGTGCTAATAGTAAGCCACAGGTGCTACTGAGCACTTGAAATGAAGATAGTCTCTAATGAGATGTGCTTTAAGTGAAAATACACATTGGATTTAGAAGACTTAGTAAGAAGAAAAACATAAAGTATCTCAAGAGATTATATTGATTACATGTTACAAGAACATTTATAATGGATTAAATAAAACATATCATTAAAATTAACCTGCTCCTTTGTACTTTTGAAAATATGGCTCCTAGAAAATTTTAAATTATATATGTGACTTAAATAATTTCTATTGGGCAGGACTGAGGTAAAATATGCCCAAAAGATTTTATCGTATTCTTTGAGACTATCAAGGGTCTATTCTACTAATATATCCTTTATGGTTGCTAGTTTTCAATATATCAGAAAGTGATTGTAGAGCAGGGAGGATTATTTAATGATATGAGAAAAGTCCATGATATATTATCAGAAAAAAAGGCTATCAGATTACTAAAAAGTAGAACTATTTCAAATATGCATTTAACTTATCAAATGTAGTTTAGCAATATGAAAAAAAAAAACAATTCCTCTAAATGAAAAGCATCTCCTGCAGCAAGCATGAATCTGCTCTCTCCTGGAATTTTCTTACAGTGTGACCAGTTTACTGCACTGATTGTTACTGATACATACATTGCATCCCTACATTATACATATTATGAGGTCAGTTAGATATTTTAAGATATACATATACACAAAAAGACCAGGCAAAGGGAAACTAAATTATTAGTACTACTTATCTTTTGGGTGGTAGAATTCTCTTTTATACTTTATATTTTTACTTATTTTTATTTATACTTTATTTTACTTATCTTTTGGGTGGTAGTATATTCTCTTTTATACTTTATATTTTTCCAATTTTTCTACAATAAAAATGACCTTTTTCCTATTAAATTAAAGATGTGTGGTATAATACATAATA